CAATCTGAGGTTTACCAAAGATTGGTTGCTCAGGGACAGTTGGAAGTATAGTGCTAATTTTGGAAGGACCATATTGACATATTCTGAAAAGAGGCATCTCTTATTCAGAAGTGATAGTCAAAATGAGAATATGGAGTTGTCTCCATAGGTGGAAGTTATCTGTGTAAGATTAGAAAACTTAATGCAAGAAGCATGTCCAAAGCAATGTACTTTGAATATGAGACTTAGTTTCCATGGAGTTGATCTCCATTTACCTTATAATGACTGTTGACAAGTCTTTGTGACTTTGTACATATTCATTACAGGAGGGTCAGTGCATATAAGTTTAAAATCTAAACAGATTTCGATAAATGATAGGAATTTGAAATTCTCACATTTTTCGATAAGGATTTGGGAGTGTGAAATTAGAATCATTGAAATTATGTTCAATTGGTTTATTTCACAAAGTAAGGATCATAGACAAACATAGAGTGCATACTTGGTGTATGGCAAAGCTATTGTTTAAGAAAAACATAGTGTACATGCTTGGAGCATGGGACAACTAGTGTTTTTAATTCAAGTATAAAGTTGATAAAACGAAAACAATGAATAATGAGTAATCAGTATGGTGATAAATAAAAGTGTTTATTTATATTCATAGGGTTTGATACCATATTTGATTCATTTATTCTTGTGTTTCACTTTGCATGTTTTGACTTCCAGAATAACTAAGTCGCTCTTCCTGAATGATTAAGTTAGTTATTCAAACCACACAGTCGGTCATATGTTGGAAGTAGATATGAATCAAGACTGTCATGGGTTGGTTTGTAGAGGTCCAAGTTGGTGGACAAAGTGGTGCTACAACACTCATGAGTGCTCATAAGTTCTGAGTATTGGATTCAACCCGCGCTCATTTGAATCACTTCATGGATTTTATCACGAGTGATCATGAGACGATAATATCTTATATTCTTCAACCTAGAGATATGAGTTGTTACTATGAGTTGGTTATACATTGATTGCACGAAAACGCATTTGGTAACTCGATGTTATAAAACGTGCCTTTGTGTATGATTCAACAAGTAGTAGAACAAGCCATATGAGTCGAAGTTTATCCATTCCTTTTACCTTCGGGATAAAAGCGATATCTGTGGGCCCCTCGATGATTTAGCGATGACACATGTGAGTGCTTGGCCAAGCCAGGACTGATTTGATTTGTTCAATCAGTCAGTCATCATAAATCGAAATCATCGGGAAACAACAAATGGACAGAGAGAATGATTATAATCCATGTCTCAGTCCATATGATATCTAGAATGGAGGAATATATGATCCCTTATCTAATGGACAAGTCATTGACAAGGTCAGAGTTCGACAGCGGCTTTAAGAGCTACGATTGCCAGTAGGTTTGAAGTCATACTCAATAATAGTTTTAGACTTATCCAAGTGGGAGACTGTTGGATTAATGTCTAAGTCCATAACTATATTGGTATGTACTTGACCCGACCCGGCATGGTCCATTTGGGTTGCACTTCACCGGCACAATTTATATGGATAGTCTTTTGAGAATAGTATATTTATGATTTATTTAATATATTATAAGTTCTAATATATTAATATGGAATCATATTATTTAATTAGTATTGATCAAGATTAATTTAGAATTAATTAAGTGATCAAAAAGAACTAATTAAAATATGGACTCTTATATATATGGGATGAGCCAAGTTCATTTAGGTTGGGCTAAGCTTTCATGGATGGTCCATGGAGCTTTTAACCCATGGATCCTATGTAAATGAAAGGTCATGGGTATTAGGGTTTACATGGATGTAACCCTAATCCTCCATATATATAAAGGGGTCATTGGCTCACAAAATTGGCACAAGTGTGTGAAAATAAGAGTGGGCCGATTTTAGGTTTAGTGTGCTACATATTCTCTCAAGTTCTTCCAAGGTGTTTTGGTGATTTGTGATTCCATTTGAGGCTTCCACCTATTGGGGCTAAGCTCTTAAAGCTTGAAGACATCAAGCTACATCAAAAGGTATGTCATCTAACTAGAACTTTGTAGTATAGGTGCTTCATAAATGCTAGTTAGGATGAAAACCTTGGAATAGTTAATATTTGCATGTATAATAGAGAAAACATAGATCCAAGGTTTATAGGGTTGCATGTACACCATAAGAATGTTAGAATGCTAAAAACCCAACTATAGCGTCGAAACCCTTTTCCGTTCTCGGCAATTTGGTGATGAAGTCCATCGTGATCTGCTCCCATTTCCACATGGGAATCTCTAGAGGCTTGTAGCTTTCCATGCGGCCTATGGTACTCGGCTTGACCATCCTGCAGTCAAGCACCCTTCCACCTACCCAGCGATTTATCTTTTCATGCACGACCACCAGCTTAACTCAATCGCAAATCCCAATACATCTTGGTGGCCCCCGGGTGATAGAGAAGCGGAGCTTCTGAGCCTCCTCAGAAAATCTGTCTGACCCCACCAGACATCGGAACCCAGACCCACCGCAACGGTTCAACAAATCCCCGGCTATCCTCACAAACAGGTGTTCTCACCCCCTAATCCTCTCAAGCTTCCAATTCTCTTATCGCATACCTCAGCCTGCGCTTTCCCTGATCAAGCTCAAAGTGGATAATCCACTGATATCCTCATAAGTCGGCAGTAGAAGATCCAATGACTTGCGGATCAGAGCGTCCGAACCACATTCGCTTTACCATGATGGTAAAAAGATTCACAGTTATAATCCTTGACCACGTCAAGCCCACATGCGCTTCGTGTCTCATGTTCAAGTTCGGGATGAACATGATGTGCCTAAGACTCTTGTGGTCCGTGTATATGGATACAAACGGACCCCATAGAGGTAATGCTCCAAATCTTGAGAGCGAATACCACCGCTCCCAACCTCCAGATCATGAGTAGGGTATCTCGTCTCGTGCGGCTTCAATTGCCGCGACGCGTAGGCTATCACCCATCCTTTCTGCATGAGGACCGCTCCCAGTCCCGTGATGGATGAAACACAAAATACTACAAAACTCCTCAACTCCTTCCAGGAGAGTCAATATGGAGCCTCGCAATTCGCTGTAGAGGGTCTCAAACACCCTCTGCTGCTCGGGGCCCCACCGGAAATTCACCCCTTTAGATTTGGGGCTAATATGTGGTAAAATGTAAAACAATGGAGTAATTTAAGGTGGTGATGACGACAATGGCAAGATGAGGAGGCCGACTTCTCTCTCTCTCTCTCTCTCTCTCTCTCTCTCTCTCTCTCTCTCTCTCTCTCTCTCTCTCCCCCGAACGCATGAGGGTTTCGGAGGATTGCCGATAAAATTTGGAATGAGATAGAATATTGTTGACTATTTTAAAAAAGGGAGAAAGTTACGTCAAAGTAATTATCATAATTATAGGAATATATTTGTGGAAGTTATTTTATCTATCAATGAAATTACCATATTACCCTTATTTATTTATTTAATAATTTTTATTTTTTTAATTTTTATTGACCCACAATCAATCCTACATACTCACAATATTTAGTTAGAATACTTGAACCTATCTCTCTCTCTTTTCTCCTTTCTCTCTCTCTCTCTCTCTCTCTCTGATCTATTATATATTCTATATATATATATATATCTATATAATATATATATATCTATATATTGTGTTCAAATGTTTCTAACAACTATTGTGTTCCTAAATGCACAAATCAGAAATTAGCAGATAATTAAATCAAAGGGGTATTTCCGTTTTTTTCCCTTGCAATTAATGTGACCATTTAATTAAATCCCTGCAATTAAGGAAACAAACAATAAATAATTTTTATAAACCCTAATGACGGCTTCCTCCAAATGGTAGATACCTCTTTTCCGTCTTCAATTTCCTCACACGTCCGGGACACCATCAATCCACTTCTCCACTAAAACCCATCGTTCTCCTCTACAAGTCATCGTACGCCGACATTAATCCCCACCAATTACATCAAGACCAATGCAACAACCATAATCGAAGATGTTAAATACAATTATGCTGGTTAGTTTTTTTAATTGATATTGTTTTTGCATTTTTTTCCGTCGTTTTCTTGCAAGATGCTTGTTGCTCGATTTCAATTTTATTTACAACTGATTATGTATTATATTATTATATATTTAGGTTTCCAGGTTGAATATATGTACATACATAATATTATTTCTTATTTGAATGATGCAAAAAGTGGAATTCGTGAATACATAATGAGTAAAATTAATTGATTGCATCATTTTGTATGATTTGTCATATTATATGCTATTAGAAAAATTAATTGATTGTATTATCTGTTATAATTCAACACATTATCTTGTCTCTGGTTACTTTTTCTTTTAATATATATTTTTTAAGAATAAGGTTAGTAACACTCATCGATTTGATGCCTATTATTCTGACAGAATTCGAACTCAATATCCTTATTTGTCAAGATAGGAAAAATAAAAACCATTGTAAGATAGGAAAAGTAAAAAAAACATTTTGCTATGATTTATAGTTTGTTTTATTTTTTGTCATCTAAAAAAGAAGACTATGATTTAAGTGCATTATATAAAGTATTCTCTCAGAATTTATTTGTATAAGTGCATTCTGTCAGAATTACGAAAGTTTGTTTTATTATTTGTCATATAAAAGCATTCTCATATTATTCGACTTTATGTCGGTTATTCTCATTGTAGTTTTAGGATTACATTCTAGGGAAAACTACAATAAAGTCCCTATGTATTGCCCGTATAATCGATTTAGCCCCTATGTTTTTTTTGCAATTTAGTCATAAATACCGGTAAACGTAATCAAAACGGGATATTTAATGGGTTAGCCGGTATCCCACCGGTACTATGCGCATGTGGCACCTTACGTGTACAAGAGAGTTTTACCCTTCCATTTCCACTGCATTCGATGTCTGGTAAATCAATTGAGAGAAAAAGTTAGGGTTTTTATAGAGTGAAACACGAAGGAAGTAGGGTTTTACTGAGAGAAACGAAGGTAAAACCCAATGGCTGTTGAATCAGAGGAAGTTCACCATGAGTCATCTGAAGAATACGACTCTGAAGAATACGAAGATGATGAGGAGGTGCTCGATACTGAGCACATAGATGTGGAAATGGAAGAAGATTATTTCAAGACACAGGGTAAAGAGAGATGCAAGTATGCTTTCCTTAACTTCAGTTCCGATTATGAAGATAATGAAGCCGCTGAAGACAATGACTTAGTTGATGAAGATGAAGAAGGGTTTGGTTCAGAAGAGGAAATCAATGACACAGCAGGGGCTAATGATCTTGATTTGGGAGATGCGGTTGGTGCAGGCTTCCCCATTCATGACCCATCAGTTAAGTGGAATAAGATGAAGCCCTTTCTTGGTGAAAGGTATGAATCACCACATCAGTTGCAACAATGTCTCACTAATTATGCTATTAAGTCAGGGTATAACATTAAATTTGTGAAGTGTGACACTGTGAGATTAACTGCCAAATGTGGTTCTAAGATAAAGTCTCAACCCTGTCCATTCAGAGTTCATGCTTCCTGGATGACTCAAGAAAAGTCTTTTCAGATTAAAACCTTAGTCGATGAGCACAAATGTGTTAGAAATTTCAATATTTCAAATTTACTGAGTCCCAGATGGCTAGCAAGACACTTTTTGAAGGAGTTGATAATGAGACCTAACTTGAAGTGTAAGGAGATGCAATCAATAATTAGGACCAAATTTCATTGTGGTGTGTCTTGGTCTAAGGCTTACAGAACAAGGTGTAGAGAAATGACCATTATAGATGGTAAACTCACAGAACATTATGCTAGGGTGTGGGACTATTGTCATGAGTTACTAAGGTCAAATCCTGGTAGCACTGTCCAAGTGGGTGTCACTGTAAATCCAGATTAAACAACATACTTTCACAGGATGTATTTGTGTTTTAAAGCAATCAAGGAAGGTTGGAAAATAGGGTGTCGTAGGGTAATTAGTCTAGATGGATCTTTCTTGAAAGGGACATGTAAAGGAGAATTACTCACAGCAATAGGGAGGGATGCAAACAACCAAGTTTATCCAATTGCTTGGGCAGTTGTTGACATTGAAAACAAAGCTAATTGGAAATGGTTTTTGGAACTGCTCACAGAGGATCTTAATTTGCTAGATGGAGGAGAGTTTACTGTAATATCTAATCAACATAAGGTTTGTAATTTCTTAGCATATTTATTGTTTTTCCTTACCATCATCTTATATGTTTATGTATTCATTACATTGTAGGGATTGCTTGAAGCAACCAAGGAAGTACTACCAAATGTGGAGCATAGACAGTGTGCAAGACACATATATGCTAACTTTAGGAAGACCTATTCTGGAGTGGAGTTCAAGAATATGTTCTCGGCAGCTTCCTTTTCAACTGTAGAGAGTGAATTTCTGAGGAAAAATGATGATATAAAAGAGGTTAATCCCAATGCTTATGAACATTTGCTTGCAAGACATCCTTAGACATGGTGCATGGCATTTTTTAGGACTGATGTAGCATGTGAGGCAGTTGAAAATGGCATTGCAGAGTGCTTCAACGCCATCATATGGGATGCTAGAAAGAAACCCCTTCTAGCAATGTTTGAAGAAATTAGGTTGTACATGATGGATAGGTTCTACCATATGTTACAAAAGGCAGAAAAGTGGGAATCAGTGGTTTGTCCAACTGCTATCAAGAAAATGAACAAGTTTGGAGAGGATTTGAGGTTTGTCTTAGCATTTTTATTGTTCCTTATCATCATTATTCTAATTTCATTGTTCTGATTTCATTTAGTAATGTCATTGTAGGAATTGGAATGTGAATCCAAGTGGACCATCTATTTTTGAAGCCAGGAATGGATTAGAAGGGTACGTGGTTGACTTACAAAGCAAAGTGTGCAGCTGTAGGCTTTGGGATATCTCAGGAATCCCATGTGTACATGCACAGTGTGCAATATTATTCACTGGACAAGATCCTGTTCAATTCATAAGTGAGTGGTTTAATGTGGACAGGTTCAAGGCCATATATGCAAACAATATACTACCTGTGAATGGTAGAAATTTATGGCCTAGAACATCATAAATAAAGCCTCTACCCCCTTTAGCTAGAAGAATGCCAGGGAGACCAACTCTTAAAAGAAAGAGGCATGTCACTGAATCTTAAGACAAATACTCCCAAAATAAGATGAAGGTTACTGGAATAGGAAGGACAGTCCAATGCAAAAACTGTCTTCAAAGGGGTCATAACAAGGCATCCTGTAAGAATCCCAAGGTCACATCAGAACCCAAACCCAAGAAAAAAATGGGTAGACCAAGACTAGATCCTGATATCAGTCATTGGACTAGAGGTGGTGTAAGAGGTGGTGTCAGAGGTAGTAAAGGTGGTGCAAGGGGTAGTAGAGGTGGTACAGGGGGTAAGAGAGGTGGTGCAGTGGGTAACACAGGTGGTGCAGTGGGTAACACAGGTGGTGCAAGAGGTGGTGCAGTGGGTAACAGAGGTGGTAAAAGAGGTGGTAGGGGCAGTAAGACATCTGTTGGAATTGAAGGTGGTGGAGTTGAAAATGAGGATGACACTATTCCTGAAAAATATTTAGTCCATTTATGGAAGGCAATGCAAGATTTGAAACTATCAAGGTATTCAATTGAAGAAATTAAAAATACACTTAGTCTGACAGATTCACATATGAAACAGCTCAATGATTACAATGACACTATTGAACAAGTTCTTCCTATGTCTATGGTAAACCCTCTATATTACCTTAATGTTAACATTCATTTATGTTATTAATTGCTTGATGTTTTACAGGAATAGGAGTATCCACCTCAGACTGAGACACAAGATGGGGCTGAAGAAATTATCCCTGAGACACAACCAGAAAGTGAAGAAGCAGAAGAAGAAGAAGGCATTAATGACACCCAGGAATTACCAGTACACCTTAGGATTGTGAAAAGAAGAAGGCCCTCTGAGAGGATTGTTAAAACCAAGCTGAAGAAGATGGGATGTGTTGGGACTTCTGCAAATTCAGCATTGGAGTTGGATTAGGGTGTTAGGGTGTTAAGGGTAGTAAGGGTATTTTGGTACATCTTTGTGAATGCTACTTTTGTGCATCTTTTGTGAATGCTACTTTTGTACATCTTTTGTGAATGCCCTTAAATTACTGATAGCCATATTTTGTACATCTTTTGTAAACACATTGAAACATTGTGAATGCCCTGAACATGGTTGGTAATGACATATTAGAGTTTGTTGTTTAATTATTTTAGCCACAAGTGTGCATACTTCATGGTTATATTTGTCAAGTGTACACCATTTATGCAAACCATAATAACATATTGCCATTTCATTAACCAAAACATTACATGATCCACAAGAACATTTATCCATTACATCATGATAACAAACCAAAAGATTACATCATCCCTACCATACCATAATACCCTACAACTTACACTAAACTAACCATACATCATCCCTACAATGAAACAAACGAAACAAACCATCATCCACTTGCAGAATCCAAATTCATTACCAGGCACATGTGTATTCTCACGCACTGCAATTTGATTATCAGGTTCAAGAGCATTCACAGGGGCAATAGGGACATCAACATTCACAGGGGCAATAGGGCCATCAACAGGTATTTCACCTTCATTAACAGGGTTACTGAAAGGAATAACTACACCCCCATTAGCAACAGCTCCTAATTCATACATTCTTTCTTTATACCACTTATTCAATAATGGTGGATCAATCCAACGAAAATACCCACAATCCTTCTCTTCATCCTACATAACATAGAAAGATGCATGTTTTTAACATAGAAGAATGGTAATTTAGTGAAATAGAAGAATCTGAGTGAGATTTGAAGATTCTATACCATGTAATTTGGGCAACTAAAAAACCTCCGGCCTGGATTTTTTCGAGTCCATGATGTCCACATTCCAGCCCTATCTCCACAATAGCACATTCTGATGTTGGTGCTTGACGAACTCGACATCGATTTCTTGTTTCCAATTTGCCCTAATCGTTCGCTCCTTTGACTGTCGAATGAAGAAGAAGAGCTCGATTCATTGATTTAGCCCTCTTAAATGGCACGTAGGATGTTATTTAACATGATGACTTCCACGTAAGCTGCCACATCAGTTAGATACCGGCTAACCCATTAAATATCCCGTTTTGATTACGTTTACCGGTATTTAGGACTAAATTGCAAAAAAAAAAACATAGGGGCTAAATCGATTATATGGGCAATATATAGGGACTTTATTATAGTTTTCCCTACATTCTATTTGAATAAATTACAATTCTTTAATGTCTACAACATTCTGTCAGAATTTATAGTTTTTATTCTCTATAACAATCTGTCAGAATTTATAGTTTCTACTACATTTTGTCAGAATTTAAAATTTTTATTCTTTTAGAATGCACTAAATTTCTTATTATTTGAAAGTTGATTATGTTTTCTTTGTAGATTTTTATTTTGAAGAGGCTGTCATTGATGTGGAAAAAGAAGAAAACTTGGAGAATGAGAGTGTATTCCACCAGAATGTATTCTGCCACAATGTATAATGTGTTTCTTAATTTCAGAACGAATTAGTTTTTTGTTAGATTTTGATGTTCTTTTAACCATTGTTTATAGTCTTATTCTTTACGAATTAATGTAATTAATGATTCTTAAAGAATAAAATTCGTATTCTTTAGAAAATATTATTATTGATAATATGTTTTATAAGTCTTTAAGCATGTTAATTTAATATATATATATATATATATATATATATATATATATATATATATATATATCTTGAGTGTAACCATATTCTGCAAGAATAAAATCGAAAATATCTTTACTAATTTATGGTTGACTTTTTGTCATTCTGACAGAATAAAATCAATTATTACTAAAAGTTATATTAAAATTAAATTCGAATTATTTTAAAAAATTCAGATTAAAAAAATGGGTATTAATTATCCTTAAAATACGAAAATTTCCTTTTTTAATATAGGTTAATTGACTAAAACACTCTTATGTTGAAATTTGTATGATTATATGGTACATGTTACCCTATTGTAATATCATAGACCCTAGATCATGACCATTGATTCTATTCCATCCGTTGATCCAGGTTTATACATACAAACACACAATAGTTGTTAGAAACATTTGAACCTATCTATTGTGTGTATGTAGGATTGATTCTTGACCAATAATTTCAATTATTTTAAGAAAGTAATTAGTGCATATTAAATGTTGAAGATTTAATTAATACTCATTATATTTTCAACATGTAATATGCATTAATTACTTTCTTAAAATAACTAAAATGATTGGTCTAGAATCAATCGTACATGCACACGATAGATAGTTAGAATACAATAACCTAACCCTATATATATATATATATATATATATATATATATATATATATATATATATATATATATTCACACTTTTCACTAACTATAAAAATGAAAGAAAATTCAGTTTTTGTTGCTTGTGCGATTTAATATTTTTGTCATTTTTAGACATGACATTTTTTTAATTCTATATAACATAAGATAATAATGAGTATTAACTCTGATTTTGTCTGTCTAGAAAGGAGTAAACCATTATTGTTGTCGTGTCATGAAATGAGTGGATGTGCATGTTGTTATTGTCAAATTAGTACAAATTCACATTCTTTCTATTTTTAATAAAAGACAAGGCCAAAAGTTGGTCACTTGGTTGAGTCTTTTATCACAGTAGATAACTCACTTTCTAAGTCCCATTTAAATATTACAATATAGGGGTAATATACGACAAGATACACTAAATAAAAAAATGGCCATTTAACCATAAAAATATCAAATAGAAAACTAATGGCGCCCGAATGATTCGTGAGGCCATATACTTTATTCACGACAAGTTCAATTATTGTTAATAGTTAAAACAATAGAACAACAAATAATCATAAATCGATTTACTCTTGTGGTTAACGTTGTTAGATATAGGTCTTGCTAATTCGCGGGAGTGGTGGTATTAATTTGATAATTGAAAATAATGGTCTTAGAGTTCGATGAAAATCAGTTCAATAAAATTCGATGAAAGTCAGTTTTAATATTGGTTACCTCGAAAGTCTTTGCTCTATAGGTCATCCGATATACTCACCACTAACCATTATAGTGGTGGGTGACACATCATCACCACTAACTACCACTAAAATGTTGGGATACTATATCCTTTTTATTTTTTGATTATTAAAATAAAAAATATATATATATTTTAATTAATTAAATTATAGAGAGAGACGGAGAAAGGTAGAGAGAGAGAGAGATATAGAGAGAAATAGAAAAAAAAACAAATTGATTGGGTGTGATGGTTGGTGTTCCCCACAACAATTGACCATGAAAGTTGTCTACCATTAACACCTTGGGATGATGTTTATATTTGTGGTTAGTGGCCACATAAACCACGAGAGGTCTCATGATGACCATATGAGATGGTCGTACATGGTCTTACAAAATTGTTTTTTATGTTTTATCCTTGAAGTTCATAGCATCCTTGTTTATTATGAATCCATATTGCTATGTTGGTTTGCTGCTTTGTTGGGTGCCTTTGCATGCTGATTGCATCCGGCCTTTTGTGGAAATTTTGATCACTGGCTAATTGTCATTTTTGGTATTTAGTCTCCTTAAATCCATTAGGTAATTGTTGGTGTTGTGATTTATGTTTTTCCTTTTGTAATTATATTTTTGTCCGGTTGCTGAATTTTTTTTATATATAATTTTGCTGTTAAAAAAAGATAATAACTATTTTTTTCTTGAAATAAAATCACTTGATCACGGAAATCAATAGAGTTCATAAAAAAAAAGTTCTAATGAATTTTCAACTAAATAGGATGTTGATGAAGTTTTAATTTAAATTCCTTCAGAATTCTATAAAATCCATAAACCAAATCCGACCTTAAAGATTTGTGTATCATAACTTTTGCATATAATTTAGAGATGCATTATTTAGAATCTTTTATGAAATTCAATAATTTGGTTATTGACGTGTTTGAAATACGTTAATAATAATTAGAATAGAATTGAATGATTAATGATTAATTTTTGAGAGTTGCCCATCTCATCGCATCCTTCCAAGAGGGTTTGACCCAAGTAAACGCCTTGGGTCTGTAGTTTGTAGTTATGCCTGCAAACCATCAACATCAACATTCATGTATCCATGGAGGGAGTTCACAAAAATCAAATTTATATATGAATTGTGATGCACAATTTACTACAACTATTTAACGGTCCCCCGGGAATCCCTCTCCATATCTTCTTCCCTACATCCTTTTCTCATATTTATTATATCGTTTCGTTTCTTTCGATCTGATTTGCACACGCCCTCCATTGATTGATCCACGAGCTTGATTTCAGTTCCTGATGCTCACCTAATCGCCATGGATTTTCCATTTTGATTTTGCTTCCTCACGCTAGAATACGGTATCTTCCTGTTGTATTGTATGGTTTTGTTACTTGCAAATTACAAATTACAATGAATGAATGATCCATTTTACTTTTACTTTTGAAAGGATTCTTCGGTTATCAATCATGTCATCAATTGTAGCAAGAACGGGTCGCCATCTTCAGCGTTACGACAACAATCTTCGCCTTGTTTCCGGGTATCTCTACTATTCGTTTATGATATTTAAATTCCTTCTGTTTTGGGCATTATCACCTCTTCCACATTTTGTCCCCATTAGAATACCTCATGCTTAATCCATTGATTTAGAAATCCAGATAAATATTGTTGACTTGGATTCAAAATTTGCTTAAAATGGGAGATCCAAGATAGAAATCATTGCAAAATTCCATTCCATCTCCCGCAATCAATCAATCATGTTCTTGTAGTCATAGACTACTTGGTAAAAAACGAGTGATTATTAATAATTTTTAGCAAGTTTCCATTAACAAGATTTTTAGACGTAAACTTAGGAAGATATAAAGTTACTGTTTGATTTGTCACACCATACAAATGAGTCATCACCGACTCGTTTCCTTATCCTCGCCTACAAGGG